ATCCAACAAGCTTCACAAATTTGACAAGGTCGTATCTTCCTTCAAAGTTATACTGAACAAAACCAATAGAAAAGAAACATCAAAATTCCCAGTTTTAACTGGAGAGAGATAGCACAAAGAGAAAATTTGGCTAACCTGACCCTTTACAGGCTCGTGCCCGTTCCAGAACACATAAGTTTGAATCACATCAGCACCACCGTCTTTGCTCTTTGTAATGAGATCAGGCCACATCTGAAACCAATTTCATGATTATGAAGGATCCCAACAAAAATTCAATAGCAATCAATCAGTCACTGAAGAAATAGCAATTCTTCTAGAGCAGCATTTTCAACAAAACAATCAATTACAGAAAACAAAAGGGTCTGTGAAAGCGATAGTCACTTCAGGAGTGGCGCGAGGGTAGTGAATTCCAGCAGAGACGAACATGCGCCGTTTTCCGGCGACGATTAGAGCCCTGTGGTCGTAGCTGACATTGAAAGGTTCAAAGAAACTTCCCGAGACAATTGGAAAAATCACAAGTAAAGCGAAAATTTGTGGCAATATCCGCCATTGCAGCGAAGAAATTCGTGTTGAGTCGGCCATTGAAGTAAAGCTCATCAAAGGAGCGAGAGGCTAAAATGACGTAATCCAGAAAAAAGTTGACTCAAACGCCATAATTCTAAAATGAATTTTATTTTGATTTTTTTTTAATAAAAAAAATTGTGGAAAATCTTTCTTTCTCCTTATTATCTCTTATAATTACAATAAAACTAGGATCATATCCACTTTTTTTTAGACCCACCCACTAACATATTTTATTTTTTATTTATTAATTATCTAAATTTTCTCAATCTTCTCCAACAATTTTTTTTATTTTTTTAATTCTTTTTTTTAATTATTCTTAAAAAATCATCAAAATTACATCTTCATCATCCAAACTTTTCCTCTTCATCCTCTGCAATCAGTTTCTTATCTTTATCCCTTCTCCTCACCACCATTGTTAAAACTTCAAAACCCAATTATGTTTTTATTTGGAGATTTAGAGATTTCACAATTTAGGGATTAATATACCAACATTGTTTGTTCATTATGCAAATCGGGTTAGTAACCCAGATTTATGTGACAATTAGGTTTTTTCATAGGTAATCTATCGAATATAGTTGTTGAATCGTAGTGATTCTTAGGAAGATTGGAATAAAACCCGAGTTCATCACCAAATCTGCAGAGGAAGACAACTGGTACGAATGGTACAACTAAGAGATATATGACAACTAGTACAACTGATACAACTATGAGATAGAGGACAACTGGTACAAATAGATATAACTAAGACAACTTAAATAATTGCTGATTGAAAATACTTTTATTATAATTGCAAATCGGGTTGGTAATCTAGTTTTATGTGACGATTAGGTATTTGCATGGATAATTTCTTAAATATAGTTGTTGAATCATAGTGATTCTTAGGTAAATTATAATTATACCTGAGTTCATCACCAAATCTGTAGAGAATGACAACTGATACGAATGGTACAACTAAGAGATAAGAGAACAACTAATATAACTAGTACAACTGTGAGATACAAGATAACTAGTACAAATGGATAGTACTAAGACAGTTTGAATAATTGTTAATTGGAAAATTTTTATTATATTTTCAAGAAATGAACATCAGCCACACAAACAATTCAATAGATTTTATATCATTTAATACCTCAAATTTGGAATAGATAGCTTATTCGATATTAGTAGATAAAATACTGTATGTAAGAATATTGCGATATATGAAACTAAACAGCTTTGGAGTAGATAATTTATATGGAGAATGAATTGCACACATAAATAAAACTAAGTGGAGTATTTCTGATAATATACAAGAATTGTTTGTCTTACTGCTGAATTACACCAAAACAAAAATAAAAAAAATGGGCTTTATTCTCCAAAAAACGTTGCTGAAAGACGAAAAATGGATAATAAATTAGATAAGTGGTTTCAGAGCAAAAGTAGCATGTAAACTTAATTTGTGTATGTTTTCGGGTTTGTTTTATCCGAAAAGATTTTATTTTAGCTAAAAAATTACATTTTAGCTGAGAAATATTCATTCTGGATATCCACATTATTCATTTTAGCAGAGAAAATCTTTTCCAATAAGGATAAACAATGTACAGTTAGACACGTATATACAATTATCTGTAACTATTTAATTTAAAAACAAGGTACAGCTAAATGAACGATTCAACTTATTTTAGTCTTAGAGTGTACAAGAGTATTTTGAAGTTATTTGTATTTTGGATTTCTTGGATTTCTTAGATTTCTTAGATTTCTTGCATTACTATTTATTTTGGAGTTATTTATATTTTGAATTTTTTGAATTTCTTTGATTTCTTTGATTTCTTGCATTAATATTTTTAATTTCTTCAGGACAACTAGGTGCAACTTGGTGCAATTACGTAATGAATTTCTCCAGAGCAACTAAGTGCAACTAGGTACAATTACCTTATGAATTTTTCTAGGACAACTAGGTGCAACTCGGGACAACTATATTTTAATTGTAATGTTAATACATTTTTTCTAGTTGTTCCTTAATATAAATTATTTTTTTGTAGTTGTCCACATTACTTTCGACTACTGAAGTCTATTTACAATATTTTCATACTAAAATTTATGCAAAATCATAATTAAGTACAAATATAGAAGTTTCATGATCTAACTTCTATGGTACAACTAAGTACAACTATGGACAACTAAGTATAACTATTCACATCCACGAAGTTGTATAAGGTTGTCCTTATTTGTCCAGTTGTCTTTTGCTTATTCACATCTACGAAGCTAGAGAACATGTGCCCCGACAAAAATAGACATGTGCGCAGTCAAAATACCACGTGCGCCGTCAATTTTATACATAGTTGTACCCAGTTGTCCGGTTGTCCAAAATTTTTCATAGTTGTCCTTTGACGATTTTAGCATTTTTCCAGTTGTCCTGAAATATAAATTATTATTTTGTAGTTGTCCACATGATTTTCGACTATTGCAGTTCATTTACAAGGTTTTCATAACACAAATTATGCAAAATCATGTATTTGCATCTTTTCCATCAAAAGATTGTTAACATTATGAAAGTTTTCCTTGTATCATAAGGGATATTTTTTGATATGAAACCAATAATATTTATTAGGAAAATGATAATTTTATTTTATCCATGTTATTAATATTGTTCCTTATAGTTTAAGACATGTTTGCATTTCTTAAGTATATTTTTCTTTATATATTATTAATTTTAAAAAGATTAAGGAGTTGCATAAAGTTATCCTTACTTGTCCAGTTGTCCCTTCCTTATTCACTTCCACAAAATTGCATATAGTTGTACATACATGTCCAGTTGTACCTTGTTTATTTCTATTCATAAAGCATTTTCAGCCAAAAATGAAATCTTCTAGACTAGATTGATTTTCCTAAGTGTCGAGATGTTTGTCAAAGTAACACATACACCTATGTGCACAATCAATTTTTCTACATAATTGTACCTAATTGTCCAGTTGTCTGAAAATCTTAATAATTGTTTTTTGAGATTTTAGCGTTTACATTGATTTTCAACCATTAATTTTTATTTACGAGGTTTTCATATTACAAGTTATGTAAAATCATATATTTTTTCTTTTTTGTTTCATAACATGATTAACAACATAACATAGATGAAATAAGTTATATGCTCCAAATATGAGATAGTAAATGATATAACATAGATGAAATTTCTTGAAATCTATTAAAATGTTTGTGTGGCTGATGTTCATTATCTCATAAACATAGAATAAAAAAAATACTCAGTTAACAATTATTCCAGTTGTCTTCTATCTATGAGTTGTACCATTTGTACCAGTTGTCCTCTACCTCTTAGTTATACCATTTGTACCAGTTGTCCTCTATCTCTTAGTTGTACCATTTGTACCAGTTGCCCTCCTCTGCAAATTTGGTAATGAACTCGGATTTCAATTCTAAACTACCTAAAAATCACTATGATTTAACAACTAAACTTGACAAATTACCAATGTAAAGATCTAATCTTCATATAAAACTTGTTTCCCAACCGAATCTGGTTACCAAAACAAGCAAATTTTGCAAATTCAATCTCTAAATTTTGAAATCCCTAAATTCTGAAATAAGAACAATCTACCCAGTTTTAAAGCTTCAACAATGGCAGAATAAAAAAGAGTTAAGAACAATGAATTGATTGCAGCAGAAGAGGAGGAAGAGGAAGAGGAAGAGGAGGATGAGAAGGTTCAACAACAAGAATGAGATTTAGCAGATTTGAGGTTGAAGAAGAAGAGAAAAATTAGAAAGAAAATCATATTTTTATTAATTTTCGTTTTAATTTTAATATATTAATTATGAATTTATTTAAATATTAATTTTGGGTAAAATTAAAGATGCCACAACATTATTTTATTAAGGGCAAAATCAAAATTGCATATACATTATGGCATCTAGACTCCTTTATAGCACAATAGATTTTTCTTTTCTAAATTATGGCATATTGGCCATTGATTCTCATCAAAGTCACACAGAGTTTTCCTTTCTCAGTATCTAGGAAGAAGACGAAATGCCACAAACACAAGCAAGCTTCTTAATCATTGTTTTCGGATGATACCCATGTACTTCTAATAAATGTTAAATTTCCCCAGGAAGTATATAAAAAGTCAGCATAACCCCATAGATTTAGTAAATACTATCTGTAAATCGTTTTACACGTTTGAATATTGATCTGACGCATTAACCCTCAAGCGAAAAAAGGAAATAGTGTCTCAACAACGAACCTCACGTCGTCGTTTCAAGTCTATCTCGGACTACTTTGTTCGATGAGCCTTGGGATAAAAGGAAACTTTCTATAATTTCCTTTTCTATAATATCTGTGGTAAACTATCTTTCTCACTCGCTTTTCATATTCTGATTCTCCAAAACTTCCGAGAAAAACCCTAAGCTAGTTGCCTCTTTCCAAATTCATTCTCTACGAAAATCAACGAAACATGAAGATGATGAAGAATGTTGCAATTGCAACAGAGAGATCTAGTTCTGATCTTGACCGTTCTGTGTGTGCTGCACTTAAGGCCGCTAATGCAAACAGCATCGATGGCGATGAGAGATGCTTCGATATCCTCCGTTACTTGAAGAGCTTGAATCTCTCTGTCAAAGATCTTTGCAACTCCAAAGAGATAATTCTTTTGGAGAGTCTGAGAAAACATGAAAACCCTAAGCTTCGAATGGGTGTTGACGTCTTGTTCAAGTCCTGGTTTAAAACTCTTTATTGGAGCGGAAGAGACCTTCCTTCTTCTACTTGCAGCAAAGATGTTCCCTTGAGTCTGAAGAAACCAAAGACTGGGTTTTTGAGGTTGAAGAAGAATAAAGATGAGAAATCTCAGGCTCTTGAAACCGAAGAAAGTACTTTTCAGACACAGAAAGAAACTTCTTGTCCATCCTTGAAGACTGTAAGGGACAATACTTGCATATCTATTCAAAGCAAGGTTCGTGTAACGCAAAAGAAACTTGGCTCTGTTCACTCAAGATTGAAGAAGACAGAAGATCAGAGATATCATGAGACCAAAGAGACGAAACAAAATTTGAAAAAGGCAGATGATGTTCGCAAGGCGAAGAAGCAATCAGCTCTACCGGTGAAACTTTCTAAAAACCCTAAATCTGAGGCTCATGAAGCAGAAGAGATTAAGAAAATTTTGAAGAAGCCTGACGCTTTGCAAGTCTGTTTCAACAACATCAAGGCCTCTCCCGATGAAAAAGCAGCCGCCTCTGAAAGTTTCTGGCAACCCTAAATATTGTCCAGCCGTGAAGAGGAACGAAACATAGATGTTGGAGCTATTTGAAATAGCGAAGAAATCAGCAGATGTGGCCAACGCAAAGGGACTTCTCGCGGCTAAAGCAGAGACATCAATCTGTGTAGATACTCTCTCTTTGCTCATCGGGTTCCCCATCAGCTCTACAGCTCCTGAAACAAGGCGGATCATGGAGAGGCTTGCATGTCTCACAAAGCACAAAGACCGCAAAATCTGCAATTCTGCATCAGCACTTCTTCACCATTGGAGGCAGAGCATCAGAGATGAACAACTCAAAGATGCACGTAGAACTCATGGATACTAGTGTCAAAAGATAAACTTAGTATAGGCTTGTGACTAGACCACAACGACGGTCAGAGGGGGGTCAAGCGACACCCTTTACATTTTTAATATTCATGTTTAACTTCTTGTAATGTTACCCATATAACATAACGATAGTATATTTTTTTGCGTTCTCGCATTGTATCCACTTAAATGATCTTTGTTGAATTAGATAAGATTTTTTTTTTTACCGAAAAGTTATAAATAGGGAAAAATATCCATGTAACATAACTTTTTTTTGGGTAGACTATGATATATAATTTCTTCTTTAGATTTGGTTCTTCAAAAAGTTGGGAAAGAGGAAACAGAGATGTGTATGAACACAGAAACATAGGCTCGTTGATGGAGACAAATAGAAGACTCAAAATTAGAATCTTTATTCAAGGCACTCCTTGTATCGAGTAATTACAAGGCACAAAAAGAAGCAAAAAATCAAACCGGGACTGTTCTACCGGTATTAGCTACGCCCATCTCCGCCGCATCGCCGCCGATTTGCTCCTCATCCTCTCTCGAAAGCTCTTCGAGAGACTTCCCTTTCGATTCCGGAACCAACAGAGTGAAAACAATCCCCAAGAAATTAACACCACCAAGCATCAACAGCGAATTCCTAACTCCGATCCCCGGCGGATAACCAGCATCAGTCTTCTCCGGATCCGAGCTCTGCGCCGCGTAAAGAAACCCAAAAGCTCCAACAATCGCTCCCGCCTTACCAGACGCCGCCGATATCCCATGACAAGTAGATCGAAGCCTCGCCGGAAAAATCTCAGCAGGGACAACAAACGTCGTCGCATTAGGCCCGAAATTCGCGAAGAACATAGTCAACGAATACATGACCAAAAAACCGATTCGATTGTCTCTACGCCTCCAGTGATCGTAAGGGATGGCGAGAGCGAGCATGAAGACGGTCATGAAGATGAATCCCATCAATTGGATGAAGAATCGGCCGAGGTAATCGATGAACGCGACGGTGAACCAGTAACCGGGGACGGTGCCGCAGAGAGCGATTAGGGTTTGAGCTCTGGAGACGGTGAAGAGCTCGTGGATTGCGTTCATGGTCTCGGCGGCGGGAATCCATCCGATGGCGGAGTAAATGTCCTTTTGGAAGAGGTTGCTGCTGTAATAGGCGATGTCGAGGAGGAACCACGTCGTGGTTGTGCCGATGAGGTGGAGGCCGTGACGGCGAGCGAATTCTCTGGAGAATAAGCCGAAGGAGTTTGGTTTTGATGAAGAAGATGATGGATTTGACTCTACTTCTACTTCTCCTGCTATTATATCCACTTGAAGCACCTGTTTGTATAAATAAACATATTGTAGACCTCTTTAATTGTGGAAACTAAAATGAATTTCAAAAATTAAATGACATGAATAATAAATTTTCGATTATTAGTCTTCAAGATCAAGTAGTATAATTGCTTTTGTTTTAGACTTTTTAGTGTATGACTTTGGTTATTTTCATTGTTAATTCAGTCGTTAAAAACTTATGGAATATCACATAGCATAAAGTCATGATTTTCAAAAGATTTTATGATCGATACATTTGTAGATTAAATTATTTTTCATAAATAATCATATACTAAATAATTTACGGAATTAGGATTTTGCCACGATTCCTCAGGTTTTTAGACTTTTAGTAATAAGAAAATAAAATATCAGTACATGGGAATCACAAATATAACAGAAATTTAACGAAATCATACTTTATGTTAGTTTCATATAACGTTCGTAGTTTAATTCCATAATTAGCATTTTCTTTTACTAATCAATAGTTGAGTAAGAGAGGAAAAAAATAATTAAATCAGCTTTGTGAAGTTCAAAACATCATGTATAAATAAAAATGAAAAATGGTTAGACTAAGTAGTATAGGACGTACCTTAGACATATCGGCGGCGGCTTGTTTGGTATTCCGAGCAACAAGAGCGGTATACCGAGCGGTTTCAGGCATCTTCATACGCCAATAATAAGTTAGCAACGCAGGGATAGCTCCAAACATGAGCACAATCCGCCACACGTAATCCGCCTCCGGTACAGTGGACCTAACCGGATCAACCTCATAGGTTGGTGCGTCAAACGCGTGGTCAAACGCACTTGAGACGACGAGTGACACGATTCCTCCGGCCAAGATTCCAAAGCCTTGCATAGCGAAAACTGCGGCTATAAATGCGCCACGTGTTTTCTTGTTGGCATATTCCGACATGATGGTGGCTGAGAGTGGGTAGTCGCCGCCTATGCCGAAACCGAGCCAGAACCGGAAGAAACAGAGCGTGGCCATCACTCCGTTAGCCGAGTGACCAAATGATAGACCCGACCCAAGCGAACAGAGTACCATGACCATCAAGGTAATACCTATAATGAGTATTTCAATAATTCAAAAAAGTTATATTAAAAACTTATTACAATAGAAACTCTATAAATTAATATTCGATAAATTAATAAACACTATAAATTAATAATTTTTCATAGTCCTAAATTTGATCATTTTAAAATATAACACAATTCCATAAGATAATAACAAAATTTCTATGTAAATATATGGTCCCTTTAATATCATAAACTAATAATTATCATAAACAAAATCTGATTTAAACATATACATGAGATAATCTACTAAAATACGAGTATAGTGATGTTTTTTATTCATTTTAAATCAAAATCTTTTTGAAATTCATTTTAAATTTTAGAAAGATCTTTTTTAAAATTATAAAATCTTTTTTAAAATGAAGAAGAAATAAAAAAATATTTTTTTTTTGAAAACTATAAATTAATAACTTTATAAATTAATAAAATATCAAAGTCTCAACATTATTAATTTATAGAGTTTTTACTGTATATAGTTTTAAATTCAAAATTTGTAGTGTATTATTATTTTTCTTGGAACTAATGGAACATTTTTTCTAGGCCAAAGAAAGAATAGCAAATGTTACCGTAAACTTTCTTGCGGCCAAGTTTGTCACCGAGCCAACCGAAGAAGAGCTGGCCAGCGAGGGTACCGCAAAAGGCGACACCATTAACAGCGGCAGCAACGTTTGGAGGGAGCGTTCCAGGCTTCTTGGAGCCATCAACATGATAGTATATGCGGCCAAGTAGCTTTATGACGAGAGAGATGCTAAAGAGATCGTAAGCATCAGTGAAAAAACCCATACCCGCGATTACAATCGCTGTGAAATGGTACATCTGCGTTTTGGCCGCATCCAAAGCGTTCAAAACTTCTTTCCCTTTCTTTGCCATTTTTATTTTTTCCTTTCTGTTGTTTACTTACCTGAGATACACACTAATATATAGTCAAGATATGAGATAACAAGTGCAGTTTTCTATGCAAAAAATTAGATGCAGGTTATAATTAATTTTTCAAAGGTCATCTTTTTGGAAAAACAAAAAAAAAAAGTAAAACAAGAAATGGAAAAGTATGTGTGAGGCGAAGAACATCCTTTTTGAAACGTGAGGAATCCATCTACTTAATTAAGCTTGGTTTTGTTTTTCTTCTTAAACTAATAATTTTACTCCAAGTTAAGACCCTAAAAATTTAATGGTTTCAAAATTTTTTTTAAAAAAACGTAAATACAGAATTTAAACAAAACATTAAAATAACGACGTTGACGTATACATACATGCAGGCATATGGAAAGAGGATGGAACCTTAGTCAAGTTAAGACCCTAAAAATTTAATGGTTTCAAAATTTTTTTTAAAAAAACGTAAATACAGAATTTAAACAAAACATTAAAATAACGACGTTGACGTATACATACATGCAGGCATATGGAAAGAGGATGGAACCTTAGTCAAGTTAAGACTGGTGTATCCTTCTGCTGAACTGGAGACTGACGAGAAATTTTAGGAGGGTTCTGGTATTTATAAAAAAAATAGAAACGAAAGGAACATTTTGAAGAATCTACAAGAATATACCTTACAAAACTATAAATTAAATTTGCTTTTTGTAGTCATTATATTAACGTGGGACTCCGTAAATACTATTCGTCTTTTTTATGAGGTCAATTGCTTCTCTTGGATGTTCAACATACATAATTCGTTTTTTAAGTGGTCTGGGAAAACGAAACAATTTATTATTTTCTCCTGATTTATGTATGTTCGTTCAGCCTCGGGATTTGAATCAACACTACTAACTAAATTCCAACTCATACATCATGCATACATCACCTAGTGACCAAGTTTCAATCAAATTGTTATTATTCAAATGTTGAATTGCTGCTCGAGACAGAAAATCGATTGTTTAGAAGTTGGATGTATTTTTTTTTATCATTGTCATGATGATTGATACATATTATAAATCAGTCAAATTTGATCTATTATAAAAAATGTATGTTTTTATTGAAATACAGCAGTATATGTAGAGCAGTAGAGATGTTTTAGAAAATCGATTTGAATACCTATATCATCAAAGTATATTTATATCTTCTATTATACATTATGAAAAAATTTCATAATTAAGCATGTTTAAGTTGAATTTTGTTTTTAAGATGTCTTTTCTATCAGGAAGTGATTTTAGATATTGTGTGAATGATGATAAAATCAGAAGAATATCCCATGGTTAATTGTTAAGTAAGTTAACATGTCTTGCAAGCTTGTAATAGTAGCACACTAACCAAACAAGAATGAGATTCACAGACCAAAAAGAATGTGAATATATTTACGTTATTGTTCTTTTTTTTTTTGTCGGCACGTTATTGTTCTTTTAAACTAGTGTATTTCGTGTTCAGATCCTTCTTTTCTATATTTTTAAGATTTTTAAGACTAGGGAAAATTTTGTAAAAAAAATAAAATCCGATTGATTCCAGCACTTATGTAGGTTGAAGTCAACATTTCCGACAAAATTTATGTCACAAATAATAAGGACTAGAAAAGAATAATTTCTTCTCAGCGTCCTATGGGTATGGGAGGAGAAAACTCAAAACGTTTTTTTCAACAGGAAAAAAATAATAAAAAATGCTTCATCAGTCACAAGGCAAGTAGTATATTATCATACAATAAGTTATTATGATTTTCGTAGTCATACCAAAAATGTTTTTCTTACTATTACCATCTTATGTCCTTTTCTTAATCACAAAATAAAGACGCTAAAACTAAAGATACGATGTAACAAGCAACGTTACGCAGGTGTTTAGACACGTACGTGAGCATATCAACATTTTTTTAGAAATTTAAATTACTGAAATCGAAAATGGGAGTAACAAAGACGAAAAGAATATCAACATTATTTATAGACACGTGAATGCGTAAAGAACTATTAATCTCCAAAGTAGACGATCAAAATAGGACACCAAAATTTGAAAGATGCTTCTGTTGCGTTGACTCTGCAACTCATCCTATTGGTCCACGAAGTTAACCAACTATTGAATTGTCTCTAGAGATATACGAAGGGTTTTGAACATTAGATAATAAAATATTTTTACGATACCCGATTTAAACTAAAAACAGCACAAAAAAACGAATATCTACGATTAAATGAAACAAAAAAAAAAACAAGAAGGTAAAATAAAGGGTAACCATACTACTAGTATTAGGGAGCTATATCAGAAAATTTTGAAGACTATTGCATAGTTAGAATCATCAAGGAGTGTTTCAAGAAAACTCAGAGAAAATCTTTCTTACATTGACTAGTATTTATCTCAAAGCTAAGAGGAACGATAATTCCAAATTTAAACGAATCTACTAGGAGACAATAAAGAACACACACACACACACTGTAACACGAACATCTGAGGTAAATTATGTTAATTCTAAGTCAACTGCAATAGAATATTCACATAAAAGTCACTAGTTACTCGCTCCTGCATTGCTCTCCAAATGGTGGCAAGAGAAGAGCCAATCTTGCCTTGTACCTCGCGATCCTCTTCAACCGATCTTCTCTTAATCTGAAAACCAAACAAACCCAAAATTTTGTTAACAAAACGAACAAATTTCCATTTGTAATCACCAAGAAAACCACTTTGATTTGACGAAATGTTGTGGGACTCACCGAGCGCGGACCTTCTTAGCTCGGTCCACATGTCTTTTCAAAAGATCAGAATCTGACAACTGTTTCACAGATTCCTCGTCCTGAGCTCATCAAAGAATGAAACTTAGTGTTACTATTCACCATTAGCATTTCGAGAGCAATAAGACTATAAGAGAAACACGAAACCTCGTTGTCTTCTTCACGATGTGCTTCTTCAACTGATTCTCTTGACAAACTTGTCTCCATCATATCCACAGGCAAAGGCTTTGGCAAATATGTCACTGTATCACTTCGCTGCTGCTGTAAACAAAGTCATTAATCCTCCAAAGGTTACAGTCCATTAACCCTTAAGTCAAGAAAGCCGAATTCTACATTAAGCAGAAACAGAAATTGATGCTAACCTGAATTCCCTCATGAGCACCATTCCTCAGCCATGATCTACAAAGTGAATATAGAGAAGCTCCTTCTGTTATTCTAACCTGCAAAACAAACGAATGTATAAAAAATGCCCAATCGACAAGCAAGAGGTTTCGAACGTAAACCCAAAAGATAAGGAAAAAGACTTTACCTTTCTTTTTCTAACGAGGACAAGCACCTCATCCCGGCTTCTAAACAACATGGAAAAGAAACGAAAGGCATTAGATAATTTCTAAAGAAGATTCTAAATAACAATGCACAAAGGAAAGAAGATAGTACCTCGCATTTTTACGCCCACTATTGTCTAGAATTGAAGTAGGAGGATAAGCAACCTGATTGTTAAAAAAAAAAAATCCAAAATTTACAAAACTGCACACAATGAGCAAACAATACAAAAACTTGCTGAAATCTAACAAAAGTTTCAAACTTTCCTCATCCCGTAAAACGAGTTTATAAGAGAAATCAAGTATAAGTGTAGCTAGCAAAATTTCGAAAGATCTCGCCGCTTCTCAGAAGGGATTTCATTTTCAAGACAGCAATATTTCTGATTCGTAATCTGATTAAAGACTCAAACCTTTTTTTGTGTTCATTATAGATTTGAAAACACAGGTCCATTTAACTACAATCACTAAGTCAAATAATACCCTTTCACTAACCAACACAAGCTAAAACCTTTAACATATGAAGCACAAACAACAAAACAAAATTGACAAAGAATCAAACTTTGTTTACGTTGAGAAACAAACTAACCCGAGGTTGCAAGAAGTGAGGGACTCCAATCATGTAACCCGACCCGAGATGAGGAGACTGTTGAATTTGAGGATGTGCAGTTCTCATGAACTGAATCATTGGATCCAAATTCGACCTAGATTGTCCATGGTGGTATACATAAGCTGGCCGAGGAGGATACCCACCTGGACTACCCATTGGATCGGCCACGGAACTCGAATTCTGTCTCCCGGGTCGGGTCGGTAACCCTCGACCCGAAGAAGGATACGGATAGACAAGACCTGAAGGGTCTTGGTGAGGCTGGTGAGGCGAACCGGCAACGGAATTGGATCGCCTGAGCGGTAAAGGATGCGGGTAGAAATTCTGTTGAGGATGACGGTGAAACGGGGCTATGGCTCGGTACGGCGAAGCTGGTGGCGGTTGAGACGACGGCGTTTTAACTGTGTTAGGTTGTGTCACCGGAGATTCCGATGCGGTGGAGATAGAACGCGATACGGCTACAGAGACGGAGGGATTAGGATTGGGATTGGGATTGAGATCTGGAGTGGACATTATTTCGTCGGATAGATTTTTTTTGGTTTCGGAGAAATTTTGGGGAAAGTGAACAAAAGAAAAGAGATTCAAATTTGGTACCTTTATTTCTCCTCAGTTCTTAACTCCAAAGACGCGAAAGAGCGGTTTTCGCTTTTGGGTGGAAAAAAAAAGTCAAAAGTTTTTGGTTCGATTTTTCGATTCGGGTCCGGTTCAAAGTTTGATTTAATCATATTCAACAAGTGTAGATAAATTAAGCTAAAAATAAATAGTTTTTTTTTTCTTTATACTACTATTACACTTGTTGAGTATGATTAAATCTTATTTTACTATACATATGCTTAATTTAAACCACAAACTTTTGATGAGTATAGAGATTTTGATTGCAAAAACATCGGTTTAGAAAAATTGATTCCAATTACATCGTAATTTAAATTTAATTGGGTTTCGGTTTGGTCCATAAGGTGAGATAAGCTCAAACCAAATGAGACCGCAATTAGAAGCAGCTGTGTAGTTCTTAAACTCTTTTTTTTTTTCTTCCAAGTTTATCTTTTGATAATCTAAAAGCCGAGATCTTTAGCCACAGCTCAGAAATGCGTTATACATTCCGCAAAAACAAGATCTGTAAAGTTTTAAACAATCTACAGAAATAGTGGATATATTTAGCAGCACAGAAAAACAGAGGATGATCATCATCTACAAATAAGATTCTGTAATAGTAAGAAGAAGCTGTTCTTGTAACAGGAATAGCAATGGAGAACTGATAGAAGTGAGTATTTTTAGAAGCCAGCCCATCCAGCAGGTTGAGCAGCTTTCTGGTTATCTCTCATCTTTGAGTTCCCAAACCGTTGTGCAGTGTTTCCAGAACTTACAGATCTTTGTGTTGAAGATGCAGAAGCTGAAGCTGAAGATGTTGCAGCAGCTCTAAACGATTCTGTCTCGAAACCCCATGGCTCAGTACCTTGGCTTGCTGGAGCAGGAGCAGAAGAAGCTGGTTTACTCTTGGTTCTCACAGACTGATTAAAGGTATTGTTGTTACCCTTTGATACAGATTCCAGCACGGGTTTTGGTTCATCGCTAAAAGGTTGCCATGAATTTGGATCCGAGCTTCCCGTTGACCAATTAGATCTGTCTTGCTGAAGTTCCCACATGGTTCCTTCCACCTTGTCTCTCTGTTTCAAGAAGAACAATAAGATGTAACAAAACTGAGGCAATCCTATGTGTGGTGGTCTAATGCTTAACTTAGCAAGAACCAAGAAATTACCGATGGAGTTGATGATATGGAACACATCCCTGGAGAGCTTTGGTTTTGTGAAAAGTCTCTGCTCGGTGATGATGTCACAGTTTTAGAGGCAAGTGTATGCTTAAGATCCTGCAACTCTTGCCTCTGCGATCTGCAGATAGCAGAAAGCTTTTCAAATTTCGCCGTTATCTCAGCCTTCTCTGAATTTGTTTTCTTCAACTCTTCTTTTAACCTCTCTATCTCAGCCTCCAAAGCCTCCTCTTTTGCAGGTTTATAACCATTATCAAGCTTCGTGGTATCAAAGTCGGCAACAAAAGAGTTAAAAGCGTCGTCTTTCGAGACTCTTGCCCTGTTATTGGTAGCAGCAGGACTCGAATCCTTCTGAGAAACCGTAGACTCAAAATCTTTATTTCTTTGCGTACCACGAGCCTCTCCTCTCATCGGACTTGGCTTTTTGGGATGATGACTTTCCACACGAACTCTTTCGGATTTAAATGTGTTACTGTTGTGGCTGTTTGGTTCATCAAATATAGGCATGCTTTTGTTGTCTTCTGATACAACCGAGGTTTTAGCATGCTGAGTTGCCCAAAAGGCACCAAGCGGTCCTCCACTAGCTGATTCTCCAGAAGATGGTGGCGGTGGCGGAGTTCTACTAGGTCCCGGAGAAGATTTATTTGCTGATTTTGAAGAACCTGCCAAGTTTCAAAAGAATCAAAAGAAATCACATCTTTCTTTGAGAAGCTTATCCAAACTCGGTTTTCCACACTATACCATCATGGACTCCAGTAGATTGCATTTCCGGTGGTCGATCAGGTAATGACTTCTGTAAATTAGCTGGAAGCTGCTCGTTGACACGAAACCAAATCTGTAGATGGAAATAATGTTAGAGACGTTTTAAGTTTCATCAAATTAAGAAGGAGCACAAATAAGAAACAAAGTGCTCTTTAACCTGTGTAATATCTGGTCGTTCATCAGGTGAGCCTTGAAACATGTCTTTGATGAGATCCGTAACAGAGGAACTGTATTTAGGCGATTCTGGTATACGATAGTTCCCATTTAAAATCTGTAGCTTTGATTCTCCATCAAATGCATTCTTGAAATAGCATATCCGAAATAAAAGACATCCAAGAGCCTAAAATATTGCCCAAAAAAAACTTTACTATCGACCTCACTGATTAACGATCTGGAGAGAAATTGAAAAGTTTTGCCACATGACATACCCATATATCGACCTTCTCGCTTATAATCTCCCTTCGAAAGAGATCCCACATCTATTGCCAATAAAGTCATAAATCAAACATCTTTTAACCACTTGAAAACCTCTTATAATCTGTACAAGAGCATATATCTAGTCAAACCTCAGGAGCTCTATATGCTGGGGTTGTGTGTTTCCTAATATTGTCTTCTTCAATGCCCATCTCTTCTGCCCTTTCGAATACCTTGTGATTTGTTGAAACGCTTCCGAAATCGCATAACTTCCACTGTCCATCAGAGCTCAATAGAAGATTCTCAGCCTTCAAGTCTCTGAGACAATAATAGTAACACTATTATAATAAATGACGCTTGCTGATAGGAAAAACAAAAGAAATATGATAAACCGACGTGTTTACCTGTGAGCAATGCGTGGTGATTGGCAATGCATTGCAAAGACAGCATTACACACATCTCTGAAGATCCCAAGAGCTTGTTTCTCTTCAAAGTAGCCAGCACCTCTGTTCTCAAGCACTTCCACAAGAGATTTACCACAAAACTCCATAGCCAAAAGAGCTTCTTTTTTGTTCCTCCCCATATCCAAGATACCGTGTGCGTAGAGTGTGACGACATTGGGATGTCCTTTCAGAGATTTCAGAACCGAGATCTCCTTCATTACAAGTTCTAGCGACTCCTCGTCGTTGCATATGATGTGCTTTAAAGCGTATTGCTTTGACGCGTGATTTGTGTCTTGAGCTAAGTAAACGCTGGAGAAACCTCCTTCCGCAATGACGTTTCTTACCTGAACTTTAAGGTTTCCTATTTCGAGATATCGTCCTTCGAGACCCGCAGGTTCTTTCTGGGCAAACGGTTTGAACTTCCACATGTTTGAATCAGTGGAAGTAATAACAATGCTGCATAAACACAAAATTTTGGTCACAAAACTTATAAAGCTCTGAGAACAGAAGCAATAGGTATTCAGACACATAGATGAAGCAAAGATAATGATCAAGCATCCAATATGCTAAATTTATAGCTCAGCTGATAGACCAAAAAAATAGATCTTTTCCTCTATGACAAGAACAGCTAAAAAATCTCAGAAATGACTCTATGATCGATGTTACAGAACTGCACGGAGAAAGCTAAAAGCTGAATCTTTGATCAGAGCAACCAGATCAATACAGTATAAAACGTAAAACCTAAGGAGCTTCAAAATACAGAAGGACTATTAAAGCTAGCATGTATATAATCTTTAATCGAACTAGATCCTACAAAGATTCAGGCAGCTATGGTCAGATACGAAATCAGCAGGTACATAGACTTTTTCCTTTTATCATCAACCAAAATCTCTCTGTAAATCTAAAGGAAGCCAGCTCAATACCTACTTCACATACTACCTTTTAATCAGATTCTGATTAAATTTTTTTACATCAAACAACACTAACGACTCCAACGATTAACCGCTCAGATGAAACAAAATCTGAAGCTTCCGGGTAATCGAGATCTCACCCAAAAACGGAAAATCGGTAGATCAATAAAATTCCAGTCCAAAGAGGGAACAAAAATTGTACCTTTCCAAAAACCCAGATGCTGATCAAACGGAGAAGAACCAATCCAATCACCAAAATTTTACAGTACCCAGAAATCGAAATCACAGTAGCTGCATTAAGATCTGCGTTTGCTTTTTGCGTAGAAAGGAGAAAACTTTAAAAAGGCAATTCGGAGAGAGAGAGAGAGAGAAAGAAGAAGAGGAAGAAGAAGAAAGCGGCAAATCCGGGAATAGGAAGGATAGTGAGATAAGAACATTTCGGTTTTGTATAAAGAAAAGCCTAAACCCAAAAAAAGACGTGAAACCTGAACGTGGACGTACGTGACCTCTCCATACCCATTTTTATTTGATTATTTTCACATCTATTTCTTCATTGTACATGTATTATTATAAGCACAATGTATTTTTAGAAGAAAAAAAATCTATATGCCTGTGTACGTATAAAGTTAGCAAATTCTTAATGTTATCTACGTTATAAGATATATTAAGATGATTTTTTTTGTTGAAAAAAAAGAGAGGATATGCACTAGTTGTTTAATTCTAGAATTCCTGTTCTTTAGTAACCGTAACCGATATTAGATACCATTTTCATCCAAGTGTATTTAGCTCAATATGTTGAGAGATTATTATTTCAGTCTATTGCATTATTGTGAATCTTCACAGGAACTCAATCTAACTAGCTACGACTAGTTTTTTCGAGGAGTAAATTAAGATTTTTGGTTAAGGATAGTTTAGTCTATTTCAGTTTTACGTAATGGTATTGGTATTTATAAAAATGGTAAGAAATGTAGTTATAAAAAGTGGTATCTATCAGGGATATTAGCGAAATTCTCTAATATATACAATAATACAAATATTTAAACTTTTAACTTTCTCCCAATTAAAAAAGAAATCGTCATTGTGACATACATTGTGATGATGCGCATCAGAGATACTCACTTATTGGTGGAGACAAATTAGAGCTCAACACAGAGATATATCTCATAGTTCACCAGAAATCCCCTTGAAGCTTTGTGGAGTTTCTTCTAGCGGCAAAACCTTCTTTTGGGCCTCGAAGCCTTTATTCCTTTCATCCCTGATCCACAGAGATAATAGATAAGTAGTCTTTTACAACACTTGAGCTGATATACACCCTCTTATGTCACCAAATTCAAGCCAATCAAAAACACACATTTTTAGTTAATTAAACACATATAATTAGTTTAGTTAAATGATCGAATCACTCACCATTTGATACCGGAAACATGGAAATCCGATGGTTTGGATCCCGAGGATGAAGATGATCATGCACCTTCCCAGCTAAAAGTCTATGCTCTGTTTTTCAGTTTGTAATCATATTTCTTTCCATCATCTTCCTTTAGGAATGTAAATGTAAAGAAAACAGTTTTTTTTTTAAATCTAATTTAACATATTTTCAAAAAAAAAAAAAACCTTGTTGTAGTCATTAACTTAGACATTCCATCAGCCAACGTGAAATGATAGTGTTGTTTGTTGTGTTTCTGTAGCTACCCTTTTGTAGTATCTAGATTAAATTATTTATATGCAGACGAGCAAACATATATAAACAGAAATAAATGGAGCTTATATATGTAAGTAAAACGAAAGTTGTTAAATCAAAGTGATAATTATTTTGTTTTACTTTACGATATGCAGTTCGTTTCTTAATGATTACAAAAATGTGGTGAATAAAGGAAAGTAGAAGAAAATGACTGAAGTGTGCTTGTAAGACGATTAGAATATTAAAATATTAAAGTTTTGAGCAAGGTATTAGAATAATCTTTTAAATCTCATTAAAATGCATTTCGTGTTTTGTATTCGACAATGACACTTGGCAAATTTATAAATTTGTTTCACAGTAAGAAAAAAAAAAACTAAAGTAGGAGGAAATTTTGGAGAGTTTATATTTCATTGAGGAATAAAAATATCAAGCAAATATTATAAAGCTTTGTGACCGATAATGGCCTTGTAATTATTTTATAAACCCCACAAAGAATAAAATTTTGTGACAAAGACCAATTTGACTGAGGCACTGAGCTGCAAGATGTCAAATCCGGATTTTGATTAGCTTTTTGGATTTTTTTTTAAAAAGAATAACTAAACTTCGAGTAAAATTAGTATGAATCAGTTCGGTATGATTTTGGTTTTGATTTGAATTCATTTAGGGGTGTTATTCAATCATGAATTTGAAATGAATTTTTTATGTTTTATAATCTTCTAGATTTAAAAATTGATATCAGTTTGATGGATTCATTTGTTTAGATTCTAAAATCTCTGCAATATACACTGGATTTTGATTCTAATAATTTACTCATAAAACTCTATTAGAATTGATTTGAAATGACTTAATGTACAAAGATTTTAAAAATTATTTAGTTTTGAATAACACTAGATTTTAATGAAAGATTTGAAATCTTTATTGAATAACACCAAACTTTAAAACCTTTTAAATATGATTTACAATCAAAAGAACCAATAACACTTGATTTTAAAACATTATTTAGAATCATTAGTTGAATAATAGTGGATTGTGGTTGGATTTAATTATACAAAACAAAAGAAAAGTAAGCTCGATTTCTTTTTTTTTTTTTGGGGTTCGGTTGGAATTTAGTTTCTGTTTTGGATATGATGATTAATTTATTGTTATGGGCAAGCCTGATTATATATTGTACAAAGAATACAACAGGATTATAACTTCTCCTATAGCCAAACCAAAGAATGTCCCACAAAATATGAGTGCAACACAAGTAAAGTCACGAATTCCCTTTAATTTAATGCAACAATTGAAGCTTCCTTTCTATAAATAGAACACAGCTTGGGAAGTAGAAGAAGCACACAAAACACTAATATATAACAATTCACAAGAGAACCACTCATATACATATTTAATGGCTACTACTATTCTCACTCTTTTCCTAGGGTTCTTAGCCATAACGAGTACCCTTAACTTCAACGCCGAAGCTAGGCCTCAACCAATTGATGAGGATTACGGTACCATCATTGGACCTCACACTAACTTAGATGACGACTTTGGCACCATCGTTGGACCGCATGCCAACCTAGATGATGATGAATTGGGCACCATTGTTGGACCGTTTGCTAACCTAGATGATGATGTGGGCACCATCATTGGACCGCATGTCCACAGGGACAATTTCCCCGACGATTTCATCTTTGGAACATCCGTTTCCGCATATCAGGTTAATATACTGTACATTAACTTAGTTTCACATACATTATATCATAAATAGATGATTTTTTTGTTTACATTTTTTAATCGGATTGAGTTTTAGGTTGAAGGTGCTAAAAGGGGATCTGGGAGAGGGTTGACTACATGGGATGAATTTACTCACATGTTTCCTGGTATAAACCATGGCTTCTTTCCTATTATCTATAAATTCTTGATTATATGTGTTCTTGATTTGTTTGCTAACTTATCGTACGTATCCCAATTTTTTTTACGAAAAGCTTTCTAAAAAATAAAATATATCACCACTGATATGGTATCATCTTTCAGACAAGGTCGAAAATGGTGGTGATGGAGATCTCGGAGTCGACTTCTATACCTTTTACAAGGTACGTCCTTGTTTTTAATTAATGCGTATGATTTTATAAAAGAAAAGAACTTTTTTTTCGGTGTAAAATCCATTGATAAACTATAATGTGGGCTGTGATTTTGTAGGATGATATAAAATTAATGAAGAAATTGAACACAAACGGGTTCAGATTTTCAATCTCATGGACCAGAGTCTTGCCTTGTAAGTCCATCACATGCGTCCCTGTAAAAAATCAATCAAACACATTTTACTAATCTAAATCTACATTGCAAAGCGTAATGGTTCGTAATATATATATATATATTTTTTAACTCATGTACATATCAATTTTCAGATGGAACTATAAAGAAAGGTGTAAACGAGGCGGGGGTGAAGTTCTACAACGATACTATAAATGAACTTTTAGCCAATGGTTATATATTCAATCTTCAATTTTTTTTTGCCTAAGTATTCCATTTTTTCAATGTGGTAACATGGTTGATTTTTTTGTTCTAATCATTTTTAATGATAATTGACAGGTATTCAGCCCGCAATTACACTATTCCATTGGGAATCTCCGCTAGCTCTAGAAATGGAGTATGGAGGTTTCTTAAGCCCTAAGATCGTGTAAGTCATTAATTATGTATATAACTGTTTTATTCGTGATTTCATCTTCCACTCCAGAAACTAAAAATTCCTCAAAAATTTCAAAGTGTAACCATTTTTTTCAATACATGTTTTTGTTTGCTAACAATTTATTAATGTGATTATAAAAATAATTAATGTAGAGAGGATTTTCGGGAGTTTTCGAAATTCTGCTTTGAGAGATTTGGAGATAGAGTGAAGAATTGGGCGACATTTAATGAGCCAACAGTATACAGTGTTGCGGGTTACTCGAAAGGTAAGAAAGCACCAGGACGATGCTCTGCATGGGAAACACCCAAATGTACTGAAGGAGATTCATCTAGAGAGCCTTACAATGTTGGTCACCACCAAATTCTTGCTCATCTTGCTGCTGTTGAAGAATTCCGTAAATGTGAAAAGGTCGGTGCCCTATAAATTTTTATATATATAAACTTAAACCTTTAATCATAAACCCTATATATATATAGTTTTGTTTAATGAATATATTTTAATGTTACAAACATAGTGCCAAGAGAATGGAGGGAAAATTGGAATAGTGTTGGTAGCTCACTGGTTCGAGCCACAAAATCCAAATATGAGTAAAGACGTGGAGGCTGCTAGACGAGCCCTCGAGTACCAACTCGGCTGGTGAGTTTTTATTTTATATATATATATATATATTTTTTTTTTTTTTTCAGTTAAGGATCAATCTTTATATATATATATATATATATATATATATATATTCATGCATTTTTAAAATGAGAGGTGACATGTATATCTTTGTGAACTACCAATGGACAGGTTTCTTCGCCCTCTCACATATGGACAATACCCAACGGAGATGCAACAAGATTTAAAAGATCGATTGCCTAATATTACAGAAGAACTATCTGAGAAACTAAAAGGATCTTTGGATTTCGTTGGATTAAACTACTATGGAGCATTTTTCTCTACCCCACTCGCCAATGTCAATTCATCGCGGATTAATTATGTTTTCGACATGGGTGCAAACACGACAAGTACCACAAAACTTAATCTCTTTCAAGAAAATTTGTTTCCAAATATTTGAGATGATCCGTTCGTTCGCTTAATAATATTGCATTAACATTAATTTCACATGATCATCATATTGCTTCTTCTTTGTTCTTGCAGCTCACCAAGACCATTCCCCTCATCTCAAGGTACACCGGCCAATTCCTACTCCTAAACATTATATACACATCATACATGATGAATATATATAGTTTAATGTATATATATATATAGAGTAACTTCAAATGAGTATTGGTGGATGTTGTTTATTTACAACCTATATTGTCTTGTTTAATCTGCAGACAACCTCAATGGGGATAGTGGTATACCCAGAGGGTTTGCGGAAGCTCTTGAAACATATCAAGGATGAGTATATGGATCCAGAGATTTACATTATGGAGAATGGTAACCAATTAACAATATACATGTACTCTCACTCACATACACACACACACACACACACATATATGTGTATATGAGTAATTTGTATGATGATAATATTGTTTTTTGGTAAATTGTAATTGATAGGGATGGACGAGATCGACGATGGGACCAAGAGCTTAGAGCAAGCAAAAAACGACACTGGGAGAAGAGAGTTTCTCAACAGTCACATCTTAATCATGGATAAATCCATCAGGTTATTAATTATATGTCTAACTAATAATACTCTTTTATAAATAGCAAGAAGCCTACAGACATATATCTTTCGCCCTCTTACATTAATTTAATGAGTTTAATCCGAACGAAAAATATGATACGACAATGTTTATGGATGTCTTGTAGCGAGGACAAAGTGAAGTTAAAGGGTTACTTCATATGGTCGTTATTGGACAACTTCGAGTGGGAGAGAGGGTATAAAATGAGGTTCGGGCTCTATTATGTCGATTACAATGACAACATGAAACGACATATGAGGTCATCTGGAGAATGGCTAAGCAAGTTTCTTGCTTCGAGAGAGCCTCTCCACCCATGCTACTTCGAGGCCCATCGGGAGAAAGGATATCCTCCACTGTTGTTCCATACTGAGCAATTGGAACCTGACAACCCTCGTATAAACTACGTGAGCGACTTTCAGTGAAAACATAATATATGGTGAAAGTTTGATATGTTCATCGATCTACCTACTCTTTTTGAGTAGAGTCAAGCCTCAGCTAATTATCATATATATATATATATATATATATATAGAGTGTGTTCAGAATAAGAAGAATAAAATCTGAGATGATCATATCTATCTCTGTGTGTGTGTGTGTTTTTATATGTGTGTGTTTGTAAGTGTTTGTATGCATATTAATAATGAATAAAACTACGTTGGAATGTTTGCTTATAAACTATGGGAAGCCTCACACACTCTTATGTTTGTTGATCTTCTTTGTATCCAATATATACTCAAGTAAACAAATCATGACTCTTGATTTGTTGATCTTAGTTATGTCTAGCTAGGAATCATGAGGACAAATGGGTTTGTACAGATGTAGACTTAGTCACGTAGGATACTTATTAAGGCTTGTTAGAGCATCAGCAACGCGGGTACTTAGACCCAATTTTAAGGGATTCTTAAACCCAAATTTAAATCAAAAAGAAAATAAAAGATAAGTATCGATGCTTATATAAGATTTATAAGAATCGATACTTAATTCTACGTGCTATAATTTCATGGACAGAAACTTTGAGATAATTTTTTTTTTTTCTTTCTTTCTTCTCCGAGAAATTTTTTTTCTTTTTTTCGACACTTTTCCCTTTCTCCATCGCCATGATAGAGTGGAGAAATTCTCTTCGCTGTTGACCAAGACTTTGTAATTTCGTGAAACCCATCGAATTATTCGCTCTGAAACGAGACCTATCTCATCCAATTTCCTTTTGATGCTCTGTTTCCACGGCTTCGAATACGCCATCGACGGCGACCCATAATCATTATCTCTCCGCTTCGACCCACAAGCCCTGAGGTTTCGAGGAGTATCATGGAGCTTTCCTTCGTCGGAACTCTCTCCACCTTGACACACGACGGCAGGCTGCTCGGCGTCGGAGTTCGCTTCGCCCAGATTTTTTTTTTTTTTTGAAGAATCCATTACAGATTCTTGCATTAAAGGCAACAAAATCTTCATTTTTAAATTGAGATTCTTAACATAACTTTAATGTTATTATATTGTTTAAGTACTCTTAATGAGGTACTGATGCTCTTAGTCCGTCTTTTTTGTAGTTAGAAAAATAATGTTTAAGGATGTAGACGTGACTAGTCATGTAAGAGTGTATTTTTGTAAGTCATTGTTCAATATTATGACCACGAAGTTGATAAAGTCATCTAATCAAATAGTTGTCTTACCTTTTTTTTTCTTTTGTTATGATGGTATTCAAATATTTCTTTTCTATCACTACAATTATATGATAAGTAATCTAAATCATCCATTAATACAAATTTTGTTTTCATAAACATATTCATAAGTTTTTTAGAGTAAATTAGTTTATTTTAATATACTAAAGTATGAGTTAAAGATTAATTAAAACTAGGTGTTTAGCCCGCGACTTGCGCGGGCCGAAAATTTTCATTGAAACTTAAAATAAAATTTTATGTCATAAATCAAAAATAATTAGATCAAGAATTTAATACATACAAAATTAAAATAAAGCTAATTAACCTATAAAAGTAATCATTGTCTAACATTAAAATCAATATTAATAAGTGTATGAAATAAATAAACACAAACTAAAATAAGATTAATATGAATTATTCATCTTTTTTCTTTTTATTTTTTAATTTTTTTTTTCTCTATCTTTTTTTTTGTTTTTTTGTTTTTTTTTCTTCTTCACTTTCTATGTCTTTTTTTATTTTTTATTCTGATGATTTTTCTTTTTTCACGTTTTCTTCTTCTTCTCCACATCTTTTCCTTTTTCCTCTCATACATCTTTTAATTTTCTTCTCTTACATGTTTTATTTCCTTTCTTCTTCTTCTTCAATGTTTTATTATTCTTTTTCTTCTTCTTTTTTTTTCTTTTCCTTTTTCATTGCCATCGTCTTCTTCGTTATCATCGACTTTCTATTCTTCTAGTGTTTTTCGGCTTTTAACTCATCTTCATATTCTTCTACTTTCTCCAATTCCTCATCTTTTAAGGTTTTCATCCAATTTTTTCTCTTCCCTATCTTCTTCTTCTTCTACTTCGTCTTCTATTTTTTTTTTTCTCCTTCAACAGATTCTTATTCCCCTTCTTCCAATTATTCTCCCTCTCTCTAAATTCTCCATCATATTTTAAAGATCTTTGTCTTATCTGTCTTTTTACTCCTCTCATGGTTTATATTTTCTCTTTTTTAGTTTTTTCCTTATATTTTTAGGTCTTTTTT